AATGCGACTTCAAAGAAAGGCACAAACAGCAGTATTGAAGACGATGAAGAAGAAGAAGAAGCAGCAGCGGCGGCAGCAGCAGCAGCAGCAGCAACAAGAAATATGGTCAAAACGAATGCGGCCAACACCAACAATGGACATGTGCAACAACAACAACAGCAACAGCAGCAACAATAAAAACCAATTTAAGCCAACCGACGCGTCGCCTCCATGCGGCTCGCTGCGTCTATCTGTATCTGTATCTCTCGCATGTGTGTGTGTGTGTGTGTCTGGAGGATTTCACGTAGGTTGTTGTTATTTTTCTTTTAACTCGAACTGACGTTGGGCACAAAACGTCAACTGTGAGGCAGCAACAACAACAACAACAACAAATGCAACAGCCACAGCAACGCATACGCAATCAGTTTCAGAAATCAGATTCGGTTCGAAGTTGAATAGTTGTCGGTTATGTTGTTGTTGTTGTTCTTGTTATTATGTGGGTATCTCTCTATGTGCCACATGTGTGTGTGTGCTGGTGTGTGTGTGTTTGCTACGTGCACGTCTGCTGGTCTCTACTTATTCTTCTTCTTTTTCGACTTCTTCAGCCGCATAGGGTTAAACAGATCTATTGATATACAAAACATGTTTCGAACAAACAAACAAAAAAATAAATAAAAATATATTTAAATTATTTACAACTCGCTCTATTATAATGAAAAAAGGTAATGCCAGAGCTAAGCAAATGCCCAAAAAGTTAGTTCTCACAAAAGCCAATTTAAAAGAAATCTAAAAATATACCAAATACTATATATATGGCTATAATATGATATATTTCTAGGTCTAGTGAATCGCCGTTAGTAAATAGATTACCTTAAATACAACTATAAGAGTATTAATTGTAATGTGTGTGCAAAGTAGAAGAGAATGAGAATCGTGTAGAAAATACCAAAATACAATGGGGATTTAAATGACTTTTTTTACTATTAAAAAGTAATTGAAAGAAAGGTACCTGAAAGACGTTTAAGTCATGTACACATTTACAACAAAAGAGGTTTGTTTTTACCGTATAGCTCTATGGCAGAAATCTATATTATCTTTATTCAGTATAACTTTTTTTAAAAACTTTAACTAGAACTTGCCTAACCTACCTACATATATAGATATTATATTGTTTGCTGATATCTTAGATTAAGTATGTATATGTATTTGGATTTTAATTTCTTATAATATGAAAACTTAAGTTAGAGACTCATTGATATCAGATATATTGATTCTAAAACTGCGCTGAGATTAAGAGAAATTTTGAAAATGAATGACAGAAAATATCCACTTTTCTATATAACAAAATACTAAGATATGCTACAATTATGTGCACTACAATAAATGTATAATAAAATACAACAAAAGAGCTATACAAGGTGCATAGAACTCCCTGAAAGTAGTATATAGCTCAAATGGCATAAAAGACCCAACAAAAATAAAATAGAAATTCATTCATTGAGTGAAACATACAAATAGAATTTCTCATTTATCATTTACCTTTGACTCAACCCAACAAAGTTGCCTAAAGTCTGTCTTTAATCTTAACTCAAAAGCCGTAACATTCAATTAATGAAGAAGAAGAGCAAAATCAATGCTGCGCTTTGTTCCAATTTGGTTCTACTTGAAAAGATCAAATGAATTTTTTTTTTGAGCATTTGCTATGCTTCGGGAACAATACGAACCGAAATCCCAAAGAAAAAAAATGAACAACATATTCTAAAGGCTCTTCAGAAGATTGTATAGCTTTTGTGTTACATTTTTGGGATTGTCATGGCAAAAGTCAGAACACCCATGTGTGTACGAGTGTCTCTCTGTCTCTCTCTGTGTATGTGTGTGTAGGACAGTTGAGAAAACGTTTTGAGTTGCCTTAATCTTAATGCGCCCATTTGGCCATCAGGCTTCCTTATTATAAGTACTTTTCACCTTCAGTTCTCTGCTGTCCGACTCGAAGTGGCAAAAAGCAACAACAACAACAATGCTGGGCACAAAAACAAAAAAAAACCCGAAAGAAACAGATGCTTCTAAAAACGAAGAGAGATCATAGCACAAACAACAGCAACAACAACAACAACAATAATGCTGAAACCCTCTGTGAAATCCCAAAGAGTCTGCCCCATGCCTCATGCCACACACTGGAAAACGAGAGGCAACAATCCAGTTTTCAGTTTCGTATTAATATATATATATATATATATATGTTTTTGTTCTGTTGTTGTTGCTTTGGTTCTGCTTCGTCTTCTTCTTCTTCCTATTCTGCTTTATGCTGTGGTCTGTTCTTTGATTCGGGATCTCGGGATCTGCAGTTGAAGTTTTTCAGAATTTCGTGCTGTGTGCCCCGTCGTCTCTCATTGTTGTTGTTGTTGTTGCTTGTCTGACTGGCTGTGCTTTGTATTTTATTTTTTCTTCACACCTTCGAAAAGGCAAAGGCACAAATTTTGTACGTCCGTCGACTGGAAATTCAATTCAATTCCCTTGCCACAGGCCGCGGGCCGTCAAAAAGAGACGCCCGAGCGGCAGTTGTAGCCGGTTTTTGGTGTTGGTGTCGCGCTTGGTTTTCTCACTTGCCCACAGCACTAACCTCTGCTCTCTGTATGTGTGTGTGGCTGTGTGTCTGTGTACCTGTGTCTCTGTGTCTCTATGTATGTGTGTGTTGTATCTGTGTTTCTTTCGGCTCTGGAGACTGCAAACTGCGAACTTGGCAGCGCGCAAACTTGACAGCCCTTCTGCGCGTTTTTGTAAGTCTTCGCCTGCCAGGATCGTTTCGTTTCTGGCTTTTTTTATTATTTTGGTTTCAGCTTTTTTTCTCTACTTCTTTTTATTTCATCGTTAAGATCTTTTGACAGCCGCATTGCGTTCTTTTCCTTTTTTTTTTTCGTTTGCATACCCCTTTTTAAGGGCCCTAACGTGGTATAATGGGACTGGGCTCAGATTTTTGATTGTATAGAGAAGATATATATATTTATACTAGTGTCGATATAATGATCTTTTCGTTTCCCTTAAAGAACGTTTTGAACTATGTTTCTTACAACTTGTAAAGCCTTTATTAATTAACAAAGTTAGCTTAAATACATTTAAATGCATTATCAGCAAATATGCTAAAATGAGGTGGTTTTCATATTTTATATATTATAGTGCAGAAAGAACTCTTAACTCATAGAGTAACTTTTAAAAATTTGTACATAATTTAGAGGTGTTTTATTTAAATTTTCGAATGACTTTATAAAAAATTTATATAGAATATTGCAGCAAATTGATAAAGGATTTGATTTCTTAATAAAATAAATGAGTAATTTATATTGATAACTGATGCAACTTTTGATTATTTATATTTATTTTAAAGACTTTAAATGAACTACAATTATAAAACAAATGGAACACATTTAAACTAGAAAAAAAGAAAGAAAGAAAGAAGAAGAAAACCTTCATAACAAAATTCGAGTTATCAATTACAGCATAACTGCTAGTCGTTCAGTTTTATATAGATCACCGCTTTGCTGCAGCTTGTTCGCATCTTGTTTTGCATTTTTTTTCTCCCTTTTTGAATGGAACTCAATTTGACATGCCTGAAGATTTTCTTGAGCCGCTTTAACAACGAAAACGAAAAAAAAGAGAACCGAAAATTAAATCGAAAAATTATTGCGCGCAGCGGATTAATTTGCGGCTGCTGGTCATGCCTACAGCCCACGCCCTACGCCTACACGTCGCCCCAGCCTCTCTCGTGATCTCTCGCTCTGCTTTGATGTGCATCCGTAAGCGTTAACTGTCGACTTAGCCAAGTTAACCCATTTCAGCTCAAGGCGGTGCTATTAAGGCCGTAAAGAAGTAGACTTTATATACCTCGGGCTTCCACTCTTACCTAAGGTCTGGCCAACTGCAAAGGAAATCGTAAAAATCATAAAAATAATAATAATAATGCCCACTTGACATTATCTAAAATAGGAGCTCCTTCTATTTCGTCTGCCTCTTCTCCCTCCCTATTTCTTCTCTTCTCTAGCCTAGCACAAGTCTGTTTGGGGCCTTTGGCTAAGTTGGTTCTTGTCGCAGCCATAAAATGTGTTTGTCGCTCGCTGCTTATCGTTCGGCTGCTTGATAACACATTTAGTAATAACAAACAGAAATACTACAGATAAACCAGAATGCCTCATAAAATACCCTGTAAGGGAAATGCAAGTACATAGAAGTATAAATATAAATACTATACAGTTTATGAGCTAAGCAAATCGTAAAAATGCTAGAAATGGTGTGAAAATTGTCTACAAGATACCCTGTAAATTAAGATAGTGGCTTTACATCACACATATGCCTAAATTGGATCAGAAATATAAACCTACTTGAGTTTCTATATATCGCTAATGAAATGAATTTTAATATTCCGGCTTAGCTCACCCCATTTCTCATTGATTACAGAGTATATTGTGAAACATACACATATGCAAAGAGCGTCCATTAAAATACACTTATAAATATTTTAATACGTGCATTTAAGAAGCGCTTGCTATTAATACCAGCCGTAAAGCCTATTAAACCCTGTCAGTGCCAGACCATACAGGGTATCTACACTTTTGTACATGGTGTAAACAAATTAAATTTGTGCACTTCTATCATGCAGCTGATGTCACGGGTTATAAAACAGCACACGAACTTCTATGGAATTAGACGAGAGCGCGAGATATGAATTCGAACTTCGCATTCGAATTCGAATACAAGGAAAAAATAGTTGATTTATGAACAGTTTACACCCTCTTATCGCAATAACATAGAACAGAGCAACGCCTTCACCAAGCATGAGCATTCAACAGGGTTCCATTAAGATTTATGTTGATTAAAGGATCCATAAAGTAAGATGACGTCTTATTGGGCTTTTACCAATACGGATATTATTTATTAATTAAAAGGAATTGGGGAAAGACTTCCAATATGTCTGCAATGCTGTGTCTGACTAACCCCAATATATCCCATGTATTTTATATTTAAATATGTTTGTTTGTTTTCCCTGCTTTATTATTCTTTACTCCACTATCATACAAAATACGAATAGTGTGTTATTTTCTTCCAAGGTGTTTTTCTTTTATCATGGGCAGATACACCGAAGACTCAGGGGGTGACATGATGATCTGCATAGACCTAAAACCAAAATATAATTATTTATATTATTTATCTTTCATTTAAATACTTACGCCATTATTGCGAAGAAGCTTTGCCTTTCAGTTGGTGAAAACGTGATATATCGATAGACAGACGTAATAATGATCTGTATGGACAGGAAGCCAATATACGTTATTTATATACATTATTTTTCATTTAAATACTCACGCGTTTTATTACATTTCCTAGAATTTTTTCCAAATTTTATTTTTGCTTTTTTTTTTAGTTTTCCATTTTAAATTTTTTTTTTTTTTAGTAAAAAATGGTTTCGGCCATAGTTATTATTCTTTTTTGTCCACTATCATACTATGAGTAGTGTATTTTATATATTTAATTTTTTTTTTTGGGTTTCTTTTTATATTCCTTTTTTTAGGGTTTTTTTTTTTTTTTTTTTTTTTTTTTTTTTTTTTTTTGTTAATATGGAAGTCATCCTTTTCTATGCCTATGTCTGCTCTTTTTTGGAATATGAAATTCCACATCTTCGGGCAGATCGTACAGCTTGAAGAGTTCCCCATTGAATTCGGTGCAGACACAAAGGGGGGACCCTTGTCCATTTCCATTTTGCTGCTGCAGCCTTAAAAGCTCCTCTGATGCAGCCTCCAATAACCTACCCATCTCCTGCTCTTTCTCCTGGTGCTCCAACTCCAGGTCCTCTAGCCTGCTGGACATACACTCGGACACCTGCCTGGTATATAGGGTCCTCATTCGTTTGATTTTTCCCGTGTCAGTCGGTTGCTCCTCGGTCAGTCGACGTTTTCTCTTCTCCATCTGCTTGATGCGATTACTGCGACGAAGCGTTGGCTGCTCGTTGGACTCCACTTCAGGCTGGGAAGAATCGGAAGATTCCGAGGATGACATGATGATCTGCATAAACAAAGATATGAATATTATACTAATTGCTTTTCATTGAAATACTTACGCTATTACTGCGAAGAATCTTCGGCTCTAGGTTGGTTTGGAAAGACTCGGAAGATTCAGATGATGACATTATCTGTAAAGACATATATGAGCCAATTTGAATGTATTTTATATATTTATTTTTATATCATTTTATTTATTTATTTTTATTTCATTTTATTATTATTTTTTTCCGTTGTCTTCTTTTCTTTGTTTTTTTTTTTTTACTTACGCGTTTTATGAATGTTCTTAAAATCGCTTTTAAGCCTTCAGTCATATTTGTGTTCCTATCGTGTTGTGATACTGATTACTACTGACTAAAATAGGATTCGAACTTCTATAAGGCTTGTTTCTGTGTGAAGTTTAAGGCTTTGACTACTTGGATCACCAATTTTATTTTTCTAGCACCTATATATATAGGATACTTTTTTGCTATATGCAGAGTTTTTCTTTTAAAATTTTTTCTTAAATGATGTATGTACATATGTATCAATTTATATCTTTATTTACTGTATTTGAAAAGAAAAAGGAATTTTTTGTTGTCGAATTCCACATTTAAGTATCACAATTGCTAAATATAGGAACAGAGAATGTTCTCATAAGTCGCACAGATTATCTGATTTCTACAAAATGTTCTTTATTATTGCTTGAGCTTATAGCGAAATGGTAAACAAAACATTTTTACTAGATATATGAATATATATTTGAAAAGGTCTATAAAACGTTATTTCATGATCTTAATTATCGTAAACAACTATAAACATAATATTAAAATTAGGTTTGCTAATAAATAAATATTAAAAGCGAATTGGAAAAATTTGTGATTTCCTAAGATGTTTGAGTATGTCTTTCAAATAGTCCTCAATCATTCAGATACAAATGTATTGTCTGTAAAAGGGAGCTAAAAGTAATGTTATTAAAAAATTATTTCGTATAATATTTAATAAACGGAAAATGAATATCTATACTTTTTCAGGCAGCTATCTGTAAGATACTTTTTGCTCAGACAAGTCTGACACTATCTACAAAAAGCGTTCCCTGAAATTCTTTGACTTATTTCTTTTATCAGACATTCCCAAGGTTAATTCATTAAGTCCGCTCCACCTGACTGGCACACAAAGCACACCTTTGGGGGAGTATGTGTACACTTATGTCTATATATGCATATATTTTGGCATATGATATCAGATATCACAAGCTACCTCTCATTCTTATCAAAAAGCCAACAACAGCAACAACAATGATAATAATAATAATAATAATAATACTTTACTGCGCTTTGTTTATTTGTTATTTATGCGCTTTAGACCAATCAAGCAAAACGGTTTATCATTAAAGCGATAAAAAAAAGACGTTAATTTATTATATACACACAGACACACATTCACACAAAGGCAGACAGACAAACGCAGCTTTATTTACATATACATGCATAAATACTCGCATGTGCAAAAAATATTGAACTTGAAGTAAAGCTTTAAAATGTCTTCCCCCTCATGCCGTACTGCTCGCGCACCCTTGCTTGCCGCCCTGTTTGCTGCGGCTTCGTTTTAATAAACCGTTATAAGCGTGCGTGCATACAGCAGCTGTCTGTCTGCTTCTGCCTGTGTATGTGTGTGTGTGTGCTGCGCAAAGCATCCAAGCAGAAGGCAATGAAATAAGCCAACAATTATAAAAACTCTTTTTAGTTATTTAATTAGCTAGCCCCCGTCTATATAGACGTAGCGCGGGCGCGAGCGAGAGGACAAGCTATGGGCAACGGTGGCAGCGTCTCGCGTTCGTATCTAGAGTGGAAAATTAATGGCTACAAAATTAAATTTATTTTTGCAAAAAAACAAAAAAAAAAACACACAAAATAAAAACAAAAACAAAAGCAGCAGCACCAGCAGCAACAACAACAAAGCAGCGCGACGGAGCAGCCGCTGGCACAGACAGCCTGGCAGGCCGCGCAGTTGCTTTCTTATTGGATTTTGTTGTTAGTGTGTCTCTATGTGTGTTTTGAGAGTGTGTGTGCGTGTGCAAATTTATGTTGCTATTTGCGTCGTTGTAGCTGCGCAGCGACTGCGCTGCTCTTATCATGGTTTTGTTCTTGTTGTTGCTGCTGTTGTAGCTGGCACGTTACCTAATTAGTTGCCGCAGACAGCGCGGCAATAGGCAACGATTTTACCTTTTATGTTGTTTTTGTAAGCCATAGGCCAATACAAACAAAAATGCAGAGGCACTCGCACGCATACACGCACATACACACGAGCACTTACATATATATATATTGAGTTCGCATTGACGTAACGTCAACTGCGACAGACAACGCCGACGCTGACTGCGCGCTGTTTCCGTTCTCGTGCCCACGCACCACAGCGCAGATACAAGAGAGCGAGAGGGAAACTGTGCGAGCAGAGCAAAGCAGCGCAGAGTGCAGAGGGACTCCGCAGACCACGCGACAATCACAGCTTCAATTTTTGTTGCCGTTTCTTTTGCTGTTGTTGTTCTTGCTGTTAGCCGCCGCTGCTGTTGCTGTGCTGAAAAAGAATAAAAAAGAAAAAAAGCAACAACAACTGCACAGTGCTGTGAGAGAGACAAATTGTGGGGTGTAATGGAAACGAGCAAATTTTATGTGCCTTTGAATAGCTGCTTGATCACGGCGAAACGAATCGATTACACTAAAAAGAGAGACATACAAATTAGACATGCAAGATACACACGGACACACACACATACACATCTGTGTACATACATGCATGTTTTAAGTACTAGCATAAGCGTTCGTTCACTTTGACAACTGATCAGCTTTGTAGTTGTCGTTGTAGTTGTAGTTGTAGTCGTAGTCGTTGTTGATGCTTTTTTTTTACGAACCAGCTTATAAGCAATTAAATTCAATTGATTACATTTGCAGTATAAGCCGGATGTGGCGGAGCGGCTTATTGGGAACTTGGTTGGATATCACCTTTTGACTTGTTGCTTTAATATGTACATAAAAATGTCCATAAATACCTCGACTTTTAATGTTTATCAAAGCAGTCAATATTTACAGACATCTTATGACCAATTGGCACATGTAAATAAAAGTAATGCAGGCAGCATTATGAAGTGAGATATATTTTATTGCTAAGCGTTATAGGCATTATAGGCGTTATAACTAATAAATAAATTAATATTTAGGAATAAGAAAATCGGGTTCTCTTTTTCCTTGTGAAACTTAACAGTAATTTGATGGATGCTCACCACTGTTGCTTTTCATCTACAATTTTTGGCAATGCTGCAGCCTGCAGCTGCTTTGAACTCAACTTCACCTCGCCGCAGCCCACCTCAGCATATTCCAACTCAAATTACTGACCGCCCACTGCATGTGCTTTGACTTATTTTGGTTTTGCTTCATTTTTTGTTGGTATTTTTACGCCAACGACAAACGTCACTCACACACACATACACACACGCACACAAATATTGTATATATTTTTATTCATTTGGCAAAAGGCAATAAACAACAACAACAACAACGAAAAGAGACACAAGTAGAAACAACAACAAAATAACATTTGGGCGAAGCGTTTTCATCACACACACACACACGCGCACACACACATGACCATAAAAAACCAGAAAAAACAAGCAGTGGGCGACAACAACAACAAGAAATGAACCGAACCAGCAGAAAAATGAAATAAAATTTTATAAAAAATCTGGCAACAACAAGAAAAATGACCAATTTAAATGTTAAAAAGCAAATCAACAGGCAGCAGGTAAAAATTAAGACCAATAAAAATGCAGCCTCAGCTCCAAGTAAAATGTAAAAAAAATGTTAAAAACTGAATGTTACAAGAGCAGCACATTAAAAAGAGCGTTATATAATTTAAAATTAAATTTAAAACAAAAACTAATGTAGTTTCCGCTCACTATGTATCGCTGTCTCGCTCTCACCCCTTTCATCTATCGGCCACAATCTGCTCTCGAATCTCATGACAAATGATGTTATTCTTGAGCAGCTAACGATCTTTAAGATACAAATACATGCATAGAAAACCTATACATATACAGATAGACAGATAGACATATACATACACAGACGGGATATGTCGCATGTGTTTTAGGCCCGTCCATTGTATATTTATGTGCGGCATTATCATATCAACGCGATCGACAGCTAACAACGTCGACATTTTGTCGTTTTCATAAGAAAACAATACTCGCCCATGCTCGTACCGTTATCTAATAAATTGTGCGGGAGTTGTTGACTAACACAACAACAGCAACAGCAACGAAAAAGAAGATCACAAAACAGACAACAACAAAAAAATAAAACCAATAACGAAAATCAACTAAAAAATCTCAATAAAATCTGCATTTGATTTGCTCAACGTAAATTTTGTTATTGTCCAACACCAACAAAAATTTGAAGAAAAAACAAGTAAGAAAGCTCTATTCGAGACTGCTCGACTACGAGATCCCCTGAACCCTTGGAGTAATAGCTATTTCAATAATTTTTCGCGTCTTTCAGCTTACACAAGAAACACGCACACACACACACACACACACACACGCACGCATGCACACAGGCATACATACACACACATACATACATACACACACACACACAAACACACACACACACACACACATACACAAACAATTACATACATATACACACACAAGCATAAACACGCATGGGCTGCAGTGTGCGCTTACTATGAGAACTTAATTGTTTAATAACTTTTTTTATGGACGTACGATCTTCATGAAACTTTTAGATTATGATTATAACATGAATATGCATGTAATTGCCAAAGCACAAGTCTCTAGTATTTGAAATACGCTTTTAACAAAAGTGAGGGTGAGGGGGTGAATTTAGAGGTGGGGGGTAAATTTTAACAAAAACCGAAATTGTATAAATTGCATATAAGCATACATTAAAAATTTGGAGACTCTAGCAATAAAGGTGTAGAAGATATAATTTTATAACTGGGTTTCGATAAGGTTTTTTATCGATAAAAAAGATCGAGATGAGTTATCGATTTTTAATGATAAACTTGATATGCGCGCTGTAATTACGGACATTTTAAAAAAAAATTGAAGTCTCTAGCTCTTATATCTTCTGAAATCGACGCGTTCATACATACGGACAGACGGACAGACGGACAGACAGACGGACAGGGCCAAATCAACTCAGCTCGTCACCCTGATCAAGAAATATATATACTTTGTGGGGTCTGCCACGCCTCCTTCTCCCTGTTACATACATTTCAACAAAACCATTATACCCTGATTTCCCATTGAAAATGGGTTCAGGGTATAAAAAGAATTGAGTTCACAGCGAAAGCTTGAAACAACAAATCTTATACTTAT